CATATGGAGCAGAGGTCCATCAGTGGCTATTAGCCACAAGGTACAGCTAGGGGCTCTGGGGCAAGTGATGCTCTGTCTTCTTGGTGCTTGGGGGGAGGTCAACAGTGGGAGGGCTTCTAATGTCCTGGCCCCACTGCTGGACCTCCTGATGGCACTGGTATTTCTGGCCACTGTGTGACACAGAGTGTTGGACTGGATGGGCCTTTGGCCTGATCCAACATTGGCGTCTCTTATGTTCTTAAATGAGTTCAACTGGAAAAAATGGCTGCTGTGGAAGATGGGCTCTATGGTATTATACCCCATTGAAGTCCCTCCTGTCCCTAAACCCCGCCCTCCTCAGGCTCCACCCCCCCCAAGTCTCCAGATATCTCCCAACCTGAAGCTGGAAACCTTAGTGTGAGGTCCAAAACACCCAATAGCCCACCACATCTAACTCTGACACAATATGTGCCGGTGAAAGCCCATCTGAAACTAGGTTATCCACCTCCTGTGTGAACTTTCCAGGTGAGGCTTTGTGACCAAAAAAGCTTAAATGTGCTATTTTACCATTTCCGGTACTAAAACCCACATTTACAAATATACAAAACCGTACTGGGAGAAAATTTAAAAAGCCTCCCCTAAACTAACCACCACCAGCTTTTCCCAGCTCTAAACTGTACCTCTCTATACTTAAAATGGGAGATATCTTGTTTTTGAATGCCCCTGTTGGTCAGTGCAGTTATGCCTTAGGCAGTTGTATTCCCAACTAAAAAGAAAGAAATACTGTGACATGTTAGGCAAAAAAAAAAAGCTGTCATATTAGGGTTGCCAACATCTAGGTGGAGCCTGGAGAACTCCCAAAATTACAATTGAACTCCAGACCAGTGTTCCCTCTAAGCTGTGTTGGTGTGAGCTAGTTCAGTTTTTTAGTCTCCGGCTCAGAGGGTTTTTGTCTTAGCTCGGGACGGATGGCTCCAGAGCAAACCAATTTATGCAGCGGCCAAATTGCTCACTCACAACTTTAATACCTGTAGCTCACAAAGTAGACCTTTTGCTCTCAAGACTCCACAGCTTAGAGGGAGCATTGCTCCAGACTACAGAGATCAGTTTCCCTGGCATTAGACCCAGCTCAGTCCCCTTCCGAGGCTCCCCTCCCAAATCTCCAGACTCAGTGACCCTGAAACTTCTCCCACACAAATGTAAGATTAATCCCTACTGAGGCTCTTATTTCTGCAAACAGAAAGAGTTCTGATTGGGGGGTGGAAATCTCACCTCCTTGGCTCTTTGATCCTCTGGTTTCCACCATGGACTTTGTCCCAGGACTGGGTGGCTATAAGGCTCCTGGGGCCTAGCTATCTGGCCACTCCCCGGTCAGCAGCTTCTTCCTCTCAGAGGCTTTTTGCACTTCCTGGCGGAACTCCCTGAAAAAGGCCGATTTCAGCTCAGCTTTAGTTCGTTCTGGGACTTTTCTACAGCGGGTCTTTGGTAGGCTCAGTTCTGCTCTCTTTCCTGGAAGGCTTTGAGTAAGTCTCCTGCCTCCTGCTCTCTCCCCTAGGCCTTACACTTCGCAATGATTTGGAAATGCTGGCTTCTGATTAACTCCCTAAGGAGTTAATCGCAAGGAACCAATCAGTTCGCTACACTGTCCCTCCCTCCTGCTTGGTCGATTAACTCTATAATCCTTGAAAAAAATGTTTGGCAGCTCAGCAGGTATATGTAGTTTCAGGGTCTTCTGTTTACAGATATATACAGACTCTTGAAGAATTTTTACACTGTACATGTTAAAACAACAATAACAAACTTCCACATCTGGAAGAGATTATAAGTGCCAGTTTAGTGAATGCAGGGCCCTTCTTTGAGTGGTGCTGAACTGACAAACGCAGCCCCCACCCAGGTTGGGGCAGCAACAGGAGGAGAAAAGTTGTCTCAGGGAGGTTCCTAAGCAAAGATGTGGGTTACGATATTGTGGTTCTCCTCTTTTGTAATGTGTTGTAATCCTGATGTGGGTGAAGATAGCCACATCTTCAGGTACCTGGAACAGTTGACTGGAAATAAAACCACCTGTGCAAGGAAGCAGTGACTGGGTGGGTGCTTTCAAGACTCCACAGACCCCAAGTATGATTTTTCCCTTGCCCCCATAGGGTGTCACAGGGTGTGCACGCACTTGTGTTGTAGCAATGTTGCCCTATACTGAAAAACATCCCATCAACCATTTGCGTATGCGCTGTAGGGCTGATTTGCATTATCAGTTCAGACCCTCTGACCAGTGAATTGTACCTTATGTACATGCAGGGGTCAGTTGGGCCTGGAGCGCACCGGAGCGGCCAGAAATGGTGGT